TAGATATATGTATGCATATATGAATATATATATATATATATATATATATGTACAGGGTCGAATATTTCATTAAAGCCTATTAACTTTTTCTTCATCTCCTTGGCTTTAATCAAATCATGTGCTTAATTGGGGAAAATTGGTCAAAGTCATTGGACGTGTCTTGGAAAATTCCTCAGCTTCAGCTGTCTCTGGTTATCAAGCGTGAACATTATAATTGGCGCATTTATTGCGATGCTCACCACCAATGGGAGACAATTCATTGATATAAATAAAGTGCGAATATCATTGGCATTCGGACTTTAAGTACTTTGTACTTTTTGTGCTTTAATATAAAACGAAGGCAATATGAGTTTGCAATAATAAACAGTAATTATTATTAATAACGGTAAAATAATGTGTACTTAAGTAAAGTAATGCATAAACCATATTATAATTGATTAAACGAAATTTTTGTAGTATAAATTTCAAATATATTTTACTATATTCTAACACCGAATAAAAGCGAAGAAATCAGTAATTAATTCTTTAAGGATCTAAAGTTAATTTGTAGAAAAAAGGCATGTTTTTGAGAATTTTCAAGACGAGACAGTTAAAATATTTATATCAAAACCATTTGTAAACTAAAGCATGATATTCGAGAAATGTTTTGTAAAATGTTCACGTAAAAATTAAGATAATAAAAAGCGTTACATCGAAGCTAGAACATGCTTCAAAAATAAAAAAGATTACTTACAAGAACTTGATATTTCAGTTAGTATGACAGTTAATGATATAGTTGCCCAATCAGGAATTTCTTCAGATATTATATTATTGGCTTAGAAAATAAAAATAGTAGGATTGGATTATGAAAAATGAAGAGGTCTAGGTTCATTGGTGTTTCTCAGGTAACGTTAGAGCGAGAGTTTTACGAACTTGAATTTTTTTTATTTTTTTGGACCACTTTCTAGGGGAAAGCATGTTTTTTGCAAAAAAAAACTCAACTATTATGTTATCGTAAAATAAGCATTGTTAACAAATTAGCGTTGCCTCGTAAATGATTCAAAGACATAGTGTTCAAAATTTCAAAAGGATCGATGCAAAAGTTTTTAAGCTGTCAAGGGCGACGACTTTGCAAACGTGTTTTTGTGGAAAAAAAAGGGTTTGAACGCTTCAAAATCTTATGTAACTATGTATTATGTACTTTCAATTCCGATAGATATATAACACTAATTTTAATTTTATGAATTAATTTTTTTTGTTTTCAAAGCAACAACACAATTTTGAGTGTTGTTTAAAGCTATAGAGTGTTCCTCAACACCATCAAAGTGGTGTAGCCTCTCTCTTATTTATTAATTTTTGAGTTGAGTTCGTTTCCTCACTAACCGCTTGAATGTAATTCTTAGCATAATTTCGCTTTTTTACTTCCTATGAACTGGCGTGAATAAAGTTCTTAAGTATTTTTTCAGAAAAATAAATTTAAAGAACATTTTTTGGATCTTTGGAACAACATACACTGTCGTTTTACACTTGGTGTCTATGGCTTAATAAAATTATTCTACGTTCAATCTGTTGTTACCTTTATAATTTTCTGTGGTTTTTGAAAAGGATGAGAAATTAAAAATTCTTAATGATGAATATCTTTTTTATTTTAAATATTAAATTATTCAAAAAAATGTATATATATGAGCAGAGGATGCTCATATGTACAAATGGTTGCAAAAGAAAGTTTGAAAATCGTGATATTTGAATTTTTATAATTCAAGGATATTGAAAAAAATTTAATTTTTGTTTTCAATTTTTTATTCTTTTTTTTTAGGTTATTAATTCCAATTAAATAAACATTCAGATGTATCTTTGTTATTTTCTTTTTTATACATAAAAATTATAACAGTTGCGTTGAAATGATAAAACATCGACTTTAATCCCAAAAAAAGGCACTATCACCATTTATGTGGCATCAGCAAGCCGCTTAATAGAACACTGTTTCTAGTTTGTGCGGTTCCAATAAATTATGACCTAATGACTTCATCAAACATCAACTTGATTTATGCAAATGAAACGCAAACAGAGTGACCACTTTATTAACACACTGACATAAATTCACATTGACACAGCTTGATGGGTAGCGGCGCTTAGAAATGTCAAAAATAGCACATAATGTAGAAAGCAGTGAGCAAAAAATGGAGAAATATGGTCAATAAAGAAAAATGACGCCTGAAACTATACAACGCAAAAGCGATAGTAAGTAGCTCAAGCATAGAGACAAATGTTTTTATGTATTTAAGGCGATGGCAACACTATTTCAAAGGAGTTCTCATGTATTTAAATAAAAAGAGTAGCTTCCAGCTGATGAGCATGCTGCTATGAGTGGACTGACGTGATACAGATTTAAGTAAAAAGTCATTAAAAGTGAATATGACTAACAATTATCTTTTTTTACTGATAAAATACTTTTTCATCTTCTCCTCTCATTCTAAGCGCTTAAATCAAAAAAGTTATTAACTATCCCAATTATTTAAGACTCCAAAGCAAGAAATTATGGAAGTCAAATCTGGAGAGCTGGGTGGTCAGTCAATGCCACCATTTTTTGAACAAGAACTGTTGGAGTTCCGAACTCTAGAAGAAATGGACAGTCAGTCGACAATATTTTTTGTGTTAATTGCACTGGATTTCTAAGGAGTATATTTAATAAAACCTAGTAATTGAGTATAAAATAAACAAAATTATAATGTTAACTTATAGAAGACAACGAAAGCAATCGATTTCTGATTCTCTCATGGATGAATTTGAGAGCTCAGGCGCCTATATGCATGCTCTAATAAATTACTTAAACGTTGGATATTTACTATGCCATGAACAAGAAAAAAAAACCTTGGAAACTCTACAAATACAAATATATCTATAAAAGATCAGCGTGACGAGCTGAGTCGACTTAGCCATGTCCGGCTCAATGTTAGCTGTCCGTCTTATGCTTTTGAATGCGCTAACTAATTCGATCTGAAATTTTGCACACGTCCTTTTATCCCCAAGAACCTGCTCATTTGTCAGAACTGCCGATATCGAACCATCATAGAATATAGCTGTCATTCATAAAGATCTTTTTATACCATTTTATGCTATAAAAATGCACCTGTAATGGTTATTATAGGTAGCTTCGGTGCAGCCGAAATTAACATGTTTTCTTGTTTTTATTTCAGTTATGCAAAAAGCTATAAAGGTGTATATGAGCAACATATTCATATACATATAACATTTCTCTGAAACTATGCGCGCTTTAATTACAATAATGGTTTAATGGTTTGGAAATTCTAGCTCAAAGCTTTTGTTTTCGGAAAGGAAACTGTATTTAAAGTTCTTGAATAGCTCTTATTTCAAAAATAATTGTTATGTTTTATTAATTTACCACTGGTGTATTCAATAAAAGCTCTAAAAGTAAGCTCAATTAGTTAGAATCCCAAATAAAAACCGAGTTGAAAATGCTTTATATAATATTGGTATAATTTATATATATATTTTAAATACTCTTTTACTTTACTAATATCAATTATAATGCTAGCCATCTGCAAGTAAGTGAACGTGCACTTACAAATCTTTTTTTTTTTTTTGGTAAGTGCGGGGAACTAGTTTTCAAGTACACTCGTTCGAAAGCACAAACATTTATTTTCAGCTAATATACTTTATTTTATGTCTATGAATGCTCATGTATACATGTACCTATGCATTTATCCTTTATATAATAACCAACTAGGTATTGAAGGAGCTTTAGTGACGGTTCAGCTATTGCCTGTCAAGTAAAGCCGAAATTGACAGCAATAATTGTCAGATTTCTGAGAAGGTGTGAGAACACAATTCGAAGTAACAATGAAGAATAATTGAAAATAACAATAACACAACACAGCAAGAACATATATAAACTGTTACTATTTTAAACTACAGGCAACAATTACAACAGCAAAAACTATTGATATACTTTCACCTCGATTTTGCAACGGAGAACAATAATATCAACTAACAGGAATTCGTTGGAAATACAAATACAAATTAAATTGCTGCCTGTGGAATACTGCAGGCAATCACAAGCTCGATATACAGTTGTTCTGCTGACGAAGTGTGAGCATTTTGGATTTGTTATATTTTAAATTAGCTTTAATTGAGAAATATTTTATATTTAGGTTATATGGACACCAGTAATAGTTTCCAATGAAAATCACATGCAGTATTTATATTGCTTCATCCTACATCCAAATTTTAACATTAACTTATTGAGTTTTGGCTTTGCTTAGGCAGAATGAAATAAATTTAGTTCGCAATTAACTTATTGAGTATCACCATAGATGTAAAACTTAGAAATACTCAATTTTTTTGTGAAAGCTTTAAAGCCACACCAAGCCCTATGAAAGCTCCTGGAGGCTGAAGTAAATCATACATATATTTAAATATATAACCCAAAAACAAAGGCTCGATTAACTTTTAATTCTAAGATTCTAAAACCAAACAACCATTGAATAAAAGCTTTTGCTTTGAAGTCGGTCTTCTTTTCAGTAATAAAGTAAAAGTCGTACACATCAAGATCCTCCAATTCGGGCACGAAAATGTCATTCATCATAGCTTTGTGGTATTTCCTATTGACTGCAACATTATGGCCGGTTTTATTTTTGAATAAATTTGGACCAATGATTCTTTCTGCCCATACATCACACCCAAACAGTCACTTTTTGAGGATTGAATGGCGTCTCAACAACGGCTTGTGGATTATCAGCACTCTAAATGTGACAATTTTGTTTATTAACGTACCCATTTAACCAAAAGAGAGCTTCACCGGCTAAGTCGATTTTTGGTTAGTATTTAGAAATTTATATATGGAAAATTTTATCGAAATAACAGAAGTTAAGTCCATTCACTTAAATCAACCTTTTTTCAAAATATTAAATTTGAACTTAAGTCTTTATTCCATTTATCATGACGAGCACCAAAGCATATATATGAAATCCGAAAATGTAATAATACCATATTTCACTTACCCCCAATTCAACATAAATCGTGTAGATGGGATATGGCAACGCAATCACCATGCCGGTAAGCCAAGTCGCGCAGCAGCACACAAAGGCCGGCAGGCGGCCCTGCAGTGGATCGCTCAGCCAACGCATGCGATCCCAGGCGATGAGAATATGCGATATTATGGCAACATGCAGTGGAATGTCCTGTGGTGAGCATAAAGAAGAGAAATTGAAATCGAAATACAAATACAAATATAAAGGCAGTTGTATAATATAGTTTGGTAAATATATATATGGCAAAAGTGTTGTTGTGTAGTAAAGTTTAAAAAGCGCAACTTCAATGAGAGTTTGTTTGTTTTTTCAGTTTCATTTCCAGCTAAATTGACATTTATTCTTTTTAATACTGAATTTATAAACTGACACTGAAAACTTTATAATTAACTTTGTTTGATATTGCCGCTTGCTTATTAGAGCTTTTAAGCTAATGTTAGTGGTTTCAAAGCAATGTTTATTTTTAAGTATAAATATATATTTGTATTAATTCAGATATATTTTTATTTTATTTATTCTTCTTTCTTTGGTCTATTAAAACACTCGCATATTTGCCGATGTCACTGAACTTTTTTCGTGTAACTTCCACAAGGCAATTGACTGCAGGCCGCAAACTTTTCCATATCTGCCGCAAATGACACTTTCGCGTAGTTTTAATGGCGAAAGTTGTGCGCCGCAAAAATATAGGTTTGTTTGTACGTGTACAAATATGTGTGTATATTTGTGTGCCTGTGTATGCTAATGGTAATCGTAATCGTGGTGAAATCACAGTTAGATCTTTTCCGTAAACCGAGTTGGATATAGTCAGCAGTGTTGCTGATAGTTATTCAAAAGTATTACATAACATACTTTTAGCTACTAATCACTGAATTATCGTTGCATATTTTATGGTAATTAACCCTTGCATTTCCCACAGGACATCTGACATTGAGTGTTTCGATTTCAAATAATTAACGCGCTTGAAAAAAATTTGTTTATTTCTGAAGTGAATTGTGGCGAACAATTTTTCCATGACGAGATTTATTTTACGAAATGAATTAAAAAATGGAAATTAATTTTGGTTATGGTAAGTTTTATAGCTGACACTTGTTATGAGTATGAAATTTTTAAAACGAAAAATAAATAATTAATAAAGAGAGGAAATCTTGTAGTTGAGCTAAAATCTACTTATCTATTTTATATATAATATTACTAGTTCACGTGGTTGGCTCAAGCTTTCAGATGCAAGTTGTTTTAGCTTTGAGCCTACAAAACAGTTTAACAACTAGGGAAAGGCGAACATTAGAGTGGGTGAAAAACACCTTACACCTTTGGATTTAGCTCGGACGAGACGAACTTTTGGAATACACAAGTACTAGTTAAATATATCTGCCAGTATATATATATATATATAATATATGTTCACAAAAGTTTTTTCCCCCTTTAAGGACTTCCGATTCTTAATAACTTTTTTCAACGGTTATAGTCATAAAATATCTCATAACAAGAAAAAACGTTATCATCGACTATACCGAAACTATAATACCGTTCACAGGTGAATTTTTATAGTATAAAAAGATCATTATCTTGATTTTGATCGTACAGTTTGTATGGCAGCTATATGATTTAGACCAAATTTTAGATCTACATCTCAAAAGTAACTCAGCTCGTCACGCTGATCATTTATACATATACTTTTTAGGGCCTGTTCAGCGTAGAAAAAATGGTAATTCACGTTGTTCTAACAACCGTTAATATTTATCTTTTTGTCACCAAAAAAATAAATTTTAAGAGAGAATTTAGTTTGAAAGAAAACCGCTGCAATGATGATGGCAATTTTGGCTATAGATTTACGGACCTACGAAGGCGGAATTCTTACCCACATAATTTAAGATAAAAAATTAGATAAGCATGAATATTGCATGTAAATATCAGGATAATGCTGGAATGAATAAAAATGTGTCCCTTAAATCTTGTGGTGAAGCGCTGACGTTTGTTTTTTTCTTTTTTTTTCATACAACTTAATTTTTTTAACGTTATGGCAGTTGAAAAAACAAAGATAGATTGTACATAATTTTTTATTATCTTGGAGTGCTTGTATCTACTAATATATATATATATATATATATGCATCACATATATATATATATAACAACGCCCGGCAAGTATATTTTTGGTGTGATTTTAGGGACAAAACACGTGTGCCCAACTATTGAGAGAAATACTGCTGAATTGACAATGCGTGGCAAGATAAGAATCAGTTCTAAATTACATAGATGCTAGTCATTTTCATGAACGGTATCTAGTTATTCTTTCAGATGCATTTATCGAAACTAGAATGCAGTATTAGCAAAAGAACTTTAGAGGGTAATGGAAAAACTTTCTAGATTTAAGCGATAATCTCAAAGATGATTCTCAAATAAATATTCTTTAATAGATTAATTTACAAATGACTGGCCAAATTTAAACCTAATCGACATCTACAAGTAAGGCGTAAGCGCTTGAAATAAGTAACATATATATACATATATACTTATATTTAATTGCTTCCTATATCTAAGGTAACTGAGTTCTTAAACATTCTTCTCTTTTCTTGCTGTTTGTTTTCAAAGAAAAAATTTCTATTTATAACAGAACAGATTCGATAATGCTTGAAACTTTTTACGCATAGCTAATTAGCTTAAAGCACATATAATATAATAGCTGGTCTATATTTAGAAAGTGAGCAGAAAGATACTTGAAAATACGGATATAAAAGCGCAAAGAACGCTAAGCCATACGCTTTTGCTGCCTTTGGTCTAATGCTATCATCGCCCTCAAACGCATTAAATACTTTTGAGACCATTCGCATTAACTAAAAATAAATGACAGCAATATTGCGTGACAATGATTGCAAATAATTGTGTAATCCGGTCAATATCCGGTGATTATGTTCTGTTTAAGGAAATTGAGAAGCGCCAAAATTTTATCAAGTTTCTTGTCATTGACACAACAAGAGAGAACCTAAGTCAAAGTGTACAACAAAAAAACGCAATATTCACCAGGGCAAGGCAAGGTGAACAACAACACGAAACAGTGAAAATAATACCCATAACTTTTGGCAATTTAATATTTGAAGAGGGTGGCAGAAGAATTTTCATTTCTTAAAGCTGTTGAAATTAAAACAGAACGAAGCAAAAGCTAACTGCTGTAGTTAGTATGTATCACTAGCATCGGGAGTAATGAGCTACGACGGCGAGTCACAGTACAATATTTATATTTGTGTATGTGTGTGTGAGTGTAAAGACAACAGCTGTTGCTCACTCATACGCTTACACAGCAGCAAAATGCGTTTAAGTTAATTTAATTTATGTCTTCCAGTTTTTGTTGTTGCTCCCTATTGTCTGTCCTTGCTATTACCAGCACTTTGACTTTGTAGCGCGAAACGTGTTGAAAATGAAAGCAATTATCGCTAATGAATGTTATCGATAAATGTGCAGAATATACCCGCAAGCGCGTCATCGCAACCACAGCTGAGAAAGACAAAGCGAGAAAACTAGAGTGAGAGTGAAGGCGCTGAAGGTAGTGAAAGTGAAACCTCTACATAAATTTTATGTTTCCACTTTCAAAGCTTTTGTGATGAGAGTATGAAGGAATGACAAGGCAGCTAAAATGTGTTGAAAAATTAACTGCTATTGTCTCGCAGGTCTCGCATATAATATATGTATGTGTGTAAATGTCAGTGTGGTTAAACTGCGGACAGTGCCGCCAACCGGCTAAATGCCCATCATGCTGAGTTGCGACCATTGAGTGTAGTGCTCACATGAAATAACAATGTGAATTAAATTTTATTTCCACAACAACAGTTTTATAGATATAACGACAATTTCAAGTGACAGCGGCCGACGTCCACTTAGCCGCACCGACCTCAATGGTGCTTGTGGGTGTGGACATATACTCCTATTGATTTATATACAAGTATGTATGTATATGTATGTTTGTATATGTATGCAAGAAAAAAAATGTAGAGTTGTGTGTCACACGCACATAAATGGCAAATGCTCGTAGCTGTCAGATGCATATTGCTTTTCAGACATAGCCGTGCTACACTGCGTATACGTAACTTACTTCTATTACATTTTCACTTTCGTAGCCGCACTGAAATAATTTTTTTTTTTTAGCAAAGGTGTGCAAAATATTATAAAAATGTTGTTATTTACTTCAAATTCGATTTTCGCACAATTTGTAAACTGTTTGTTCGCTTAAATTTATTTGATTAGGCATTCTCAGGAAATATTAAATTAGAGCGTAGTTGTTTTCTTGTGTCTGGAAATTTTCTAGTGAATCATTGTATAATTTTGTAAAAGCTAATTGTACTGTATTGTATCTGAATTGAATTGGACTTTTCAGAGATTTAGTTCGACTACGACCTAGCATATATAGGTATTGAACTTAGCACATATTTTGCTTTTGAAATCGAAAGAGTCTGAGGCTAAATGTTGCCGTAAGTAAATATTATGAAAAATAATTTGAAAACCTTCAATGAAGTTGCCATACTTTTAGGTACAAAATATCTTTTAAAATATTATATAATTATATGGAGCATTTTTAAAAGTACTATTCAAATATTACTAACCGAATCTTGTAGCAAATTGCCACAAATGAATTTTAACCTAACGCATTCCATATGTTTATATAGATATACATAGCAGTTATGTAAACATTTGAATAAGTGATAAATTTTGTAATTTTTGGAGAAAGAGCTTGCAATAAAATTAATTTTAAATGGCTGTGACTACATTTCTTGTAACGATATAGAAGTCTTAGAGTTTAGAAAAGTTCAAAGGCTCAACTTTACGAATATGATTTTTTTTTTTTGTTAAAATGTGTTACTACATATGTGGAATTTTAATTAAATAAAAAAAATTAACATGTTAATTAAATGACAAACCAATATAAAAATGAAGTCTGGTGTCACTGCTTGACGACATGTTCTAGACAGTGTAGGTTTAGATTCACAATCGCAAAAGTCAACGTCTTATTCAAAATTCATCAATACTAGTCGTGGTTCTCCAATCACAAATGTAGTTAGAGTCCCGTAATGGGCAGTATATTGGTATGGTGGCCAATAACGAGAAATAAATGCACGGTAAGGCGTATGGAAAGTATACGAAGAGTAGCTAGTACCATATATACATCAGTGAAGTCAAGTCAGGCACTAAACGTCATTTAACATTTACTGCCAAAAGACTTGTTCTGTAAGCAACTGGCAGCGCAATCAGCTCTGAGGGAATCCTTCTTTAGTCGTCATTTTTTTGAAATCCCTAAAGCCTCGTAGACTCATCGAAGCTTTTCTAAAAATCACTACACTTTACAACAATTTTTCATTGATAATCTTGCGAAGGATAATCTAATAATTATAATATATAATATAATATAAAATCTTAATCTCTAATTGTCTGATAATTGAAGAAGAATTGATGCCTTATATTCAATCTAAACGCGAACAATATGATCTCGTTGTTTCATGAATTATATTAGAGTATATTTTTTTTAACATAAATATTTATTTCAACTTAAATATAAGTTATACATAACCTCAAAACTTCTGCAGAATTATTTCAATATATTGCTTTCTATGACAAAACTACTTATTCATTTTCATTCTTCATTTTATCTATAGTCAACTAACAATCTAACATCTCTAACCTCATCAACACTTCAACATAAAAATTTTCCACCACTTCTCTTCTCGCACTCACCTGCAGCATTGGCAGAAAGAAGCACAAAAATTGTCCGAATATCCAATTCTGTATGAGCATCACCATCAATGTGATGGGCAACACCAGCGCACACTGCACCAAATGGCACAACGCCAAATTAACGATGAATGCGTGCGTCACATCCTTGTAGAGGCGATGGTACATCGCATACGCGATAATGCTGACATTCATGGCAATACCGGCCAACGCCAGCAACGCATACTGGATGAGGAACAGCCAATAGACGGACTTAATGCTCGCTTTCAGTATGGGCCCGTTGAGGCGGTCCATCGTTTCGGTGTCATTGAAATCGCCCGACAGGAAGTGAGCAATCACCATCAAATACTTCTCTGGTATGTCTTTCAATTTCAATTCTATTTGTTGTTGCTGTTGATGCCGATGGTTCGAGCTAATGGCCGCTGCCATATGATAGTCCAGTGCATCGCCATCTGCCTCCTCTTCGCTCAGATCGTTGGCGATGTGATAGGCGTAGGGAGAGGAACGCATTTTATGGATTTCTATTGCTATTTTTGTTGTTTCTTAAGTGATTTAATGTTCAGTTGTAGCAACGGCTGTAGGTTGCCGATGACTGCCTAAGTACACAGAAGAGTTTTAGTGGAATTTAACGAGACATCGAAACATCTATGTATGTAACTGCAAGGAAGAAAAAAAAGTGATTTGATCAGCGTGAAATGGAAAGTTTTAATGTGAAATAAGTTGAATTATTAGGAAATAAATTATTAACATTTTATATTTTTATAAATAATGTATATTTGTTTATATGCAACACTACTTAATATAAAACCTCTTCCAGAAGTAGCGGAAACACAATACATTATCGATAAGCAACATGTTTCCATATTGGCAACCCTAACTATATATATTTCCACAATAAAATTTTGTTGGGCGATAAACAAACCCTTTTTTTGGTTGAATTGGTACGTTAATAAATAAAATTGCCGCATTTTGGGAGATGATAATTCACAAGCCATTGCTGAGTCGCCGTTACATTCTACAACAGTCAGTGGTGTGCTCTATCTGCAGAGGGAATTATTTTACTATATTTCTTTAAAAATTGAGCCGGTCATGATGTTACAGTCAACGGGGAACGCTATAGAGCTATGATTAATGACTTTTTCGTGTCTAAATTGAAGGATGTTGATGTGGACGACCTGTGGTTCCAACAAGTCGGCGCTACATACCATACAGCCTACAAAACAATAATTTTATTGAAGGAAACTTTTGGTGAGCGCATTATTTCACGTCGTAGGCCTGTGGCGTGGCCTGCGAGATCGTGCGATTTAACACCGCTGAACTATTTTTTATGTGGTTATGTTAAGTCGCTTGTCTACACAGATAAGAGCAAGACGATTGACGCCTTTTAAGAAGAATATTTAGTGCGCTATAACCGACATACTGACATATGCAAAATGTGGTCGAAAATAGCTCTCTTGCTAGAACTTATTCGTGCCGGTCCCGGTGGTCACTTGTTCGAAATAATTTTTAAAAAATAATGGCAAACTCTCATTTTTATAATAAAGCTGAATACTTGGACATAACAGTATATTACTTGCGTTATATTTCTTCTTGAAAATCACATGTTTAAAATAACACCCTAGAGGCTTGGTTAAATCGACTCAGATCGTCACACTGATCATTTAAATATATATTTTCTAGATTTTACGAAATTTGTGGAAAATTAGTTTTATCCAAATCAATGTATAAAAATAAAAGCAACAACACTGAAAGCTCTACTATAGTACGAAAAAATACGACTGCAAGGGAAAGTCTATTTTCAACTCAGTCTATTTATATTCACAAACACTTATTAGTATTTCAAATAGCACTTCGGCTAATGCCATACGCACCTTGTAATACCTCCGGACTTACTAAGAAAAACTGTATATTATTGAAAAGCTAAATTGCTCCCAATATGCACTCGAGAGCATGGCGATATTTATAGCTGCTAGAGAAGAAACCACACACAACAACTTTAGAAGAAAGAATTGCTGCAACAACTACAAAAGGGAATTGCAGCAACAATGCACGGTTGGTTTTCTTTATAAACTCTATGTTTACCCACTTCGCTCAATTTATGGCCAATTGAGGTACACAATCGAAGGGGAGCGACCTGAGAGCAGCTAAAAAATGTTTTTTCCAGAATTTCGAATGCAATTCTCAAGTGACTTGTAGAAACGGCATTTTCGCGCGCACTTGCCGCAGACAGTAGACAGTAACGCTGGTAGCGCCAATCAGCTACTGCAGAAGCAAAAACAACAGCAACCAAGCCATTTCCGTTTCCTTTCAGTTGAGTTGAAAGTTTATGCTATAAGGTGGTTCGTGGGCCCGCGCCGGTAGCTGATTTCTTTATTTTCGCTGAAACAGCAAGCGGAAGTGAGCATTTTCACAGCGCAGCACAAAAAGTTGCCAATAGTTTGCGCCTTCGAAGGCTGCATAGAGAGCGACACAAATAAAAAACGATGCAAATAACGCAGATTTTGCCTTGTTGCTGTTGTTGCTGGCACGTTGCGCTGGAATTATAGTGAAGAAGCTTTTACATACCCACCTGCTTATATGTGTGCGTGTGGGTATGTGGGCAGCGGCAATGGCAGCAAATGTGGCACGTGGAATTTTTCCCAACAACCTTTCCACATTTTTTCCGTTTGTCTTGCCACACACAAATGCTCGCTAAGGAGCAATTTTTTGTATCGGCTTGCGGCTATTCAACCAGTGAATAGCAGTGGTTTTTCTTGCTAGCTCTCGTGTGTCCGTGTATATATATGTGTGTGTGTGTTGCACTTTTCATTTTGCAGCAAAAAGCGGCAACTTCCGTTCAATTTATTACCCTTAATTTGTTGCCTGTTATTGACTGCTTGCGGAGGGTACTACAAACAGCCCTCAGCTGCCCACAAGTACACACACATACACACACACACATGCATTAAAGCTGACATATTTGTGTCTCGCTACGTGTTTCTTTATTGGACTTGTGCAGCAGGTTGCATGCAGCATGTTTCATATGAGTATGTTGTGTTTGTTGGCGATGACCTGTCAGCGGCGGCGAGTGCAACGACCTGCATATATTGTTGCCACAAAACCGCACAGCTTGCCAACGGCAGCTCCAACAAAGACGAGGAAAATCGCAAAAAACAACAACTACTCAAAAAAAAAAAACAAGAACGACAACTACTACGTCATATGGAGCTGACTCTTAGTAGAAATGGGTCTGCCAAGTTTTCTTCTGCCACAGCCATTACTGCCACAAGCCGAGTGAGTGAGTGTGTGGGCGTGCAAGGAGTAGTGGAGGAGGAGCACATTACTTGCCGCCTGCCAGCACACATGCCACAACGAATTTGGTCGAGCACGTGATGTGCCTCTTGACAGCCGTTGTTCTGGAACACTTACTCACTTATGTGCATGCATGCTGATGGTGGTACAGGGTGACATAATTTGGTAAGCAAAAAATTTATTTATTTATTTATATTTTATCAATAGCTGGTTATTTAGCATAATTAAAGAAAGATCTGTGTACATATAGTTTTAAGTGTCAACCAAAGAAATTTGTACTCCATTGGAATTAGAACCGAAACTGTCATTATTATCCATATCGAAGCAGAAAGTTAAATGTTTTTAAACCTGGTTCCGCTGGTGGTACAGCCTTGATCAAGAATATTCGAGAACAGTTTGAGTATGTTAATTGGCCCAGCTCTGGTCCTAAAGCGAAGCCGATGTAGTTAGTAGATTCCATTTTCGAACTCTCTGTACAAAATCTGCTCTTGGTTACCGTAACGATAAAGCTCAACTGCGAAAAATGTTCTGGAATACGAATAAATGTACAAATACAAAATTTCTATTCTGCGTGCAATTTAAAAACTTACTATTCTTATTGGTCATAAATATACTTGAAGCTATATTACTGCTTGCCTCGTGTCAAAAGATTTCGGATAAAAGATTTTGTAATAGAAAGACATTTTAACACCGCTTGTTCAAATTTTTCAAAAGAAAGTTTAGCGAAAGCTTTCGAAAAGCTTTTTTATGTTTCGGTAACTTATGTACATTTTGTATTACAAATTTATTTTTATGAAGGTTTTTTAAGCAGAAAGTTTAGCGAAAGCTTTAGAAAAATTTTATAAATATAAAAGAAAGAAAAAAAGATTAATTTTTGGATATGACGTAATACAAATTTATTTTTATGAACGTTTTTAAGCATTCTTTAGCAGAAAAATTAGCAAAAGCTCTCGAAAAAAACTTTGTGTATATAAAATATATTTTTAATTTAAGTAATTTCTAGTCGTATCCTTTCGAAAGCTTTCGCTAAGCTTTAAAAGCTTTCACTAAAGCTTTCAAATCTATTTTAAAAACTCACTGTATTTTTTTTTTTGTTGCAGAAAAGCTGACCCATTGTCACTCGCAAGTAACAATTATGTCCTAACCGTACCGCATAACCCTTTATAGCCCTCTATACCGTTATATGAGTTTGCTATAGACTTTTTGTACCGCAAATTACCCATGTACTTGCTAACAATGTTCTGCAAGTTTTTAAGTTCACTTATTTATTCTTACTATATTTCAATTTTTCTTGTTGTTGTGCCTTTTTATTGTAATTTCTCCACACATCCTGTGGGTTTTTCGCCCATTTGAAATGCGCTTTGTGTGGCAGAGCACTTCTATGCAACGTCAACGTCACACGTCACTCTGGCACATATACGTCTCGTTTGTGCGCTCATTTAGATCGCAAGCACACACACACATGCATATATGTTTGTGTGTGGAGTGTTTCATAGCATAAATTCACATAAAGCACTCGGTTAGCTTGTTAGCCAATTCTGCTTCTCTTTGTGCGACATGCACTGCAGCTGGGTTACAAAAAAATAATATATATATATATATATAATATGTGTGTGTGTGTGTCTGCCATATTCAGCCAAGCGCCTGGAACATATGCAACGCTTTGCTATCACTTGAGTTTATTATAGTGGAAATGATTTATTTGCAGTGATTTTTATGAATGTTCCGGCGTATATGTGTTTGTGCGTCTGTTTGTGTGTGTGCATGTGTGTCCAATGCAATTTGCACGCGGCTGCAGTCGAGCGATAACGGCAAATGCGCAACGCCAGCAGTAATGTTGTAATAACTGAGACAGATGCAACAACTTGCAATGTGCAACATGCAACACGCACACACATTCGTTTACATGCATTCCGAGCAGCTTTACAGCAACGCCGGTAATAAAATAGACGCCAGAAAGACGAAAGCGTATGCCATGATAGCAGCAGCATTAGCAGCAGATGTGGCTACTTTGTTTGACATACGGTGCGTCATGCTTGAGTGGCGTTCAATAGTTTAAAATTATTTTCCATTATTCTCATCACTCTCAACTTTGAAATGTGCAGATTTTCAACACCAAAGTAACATTAACATTAATAAATATGCGTGTGTGTGTATGTGTGTCTGCCTTGAAGCCTGCACTTATGCTTATATTCAACTTAGTTGCATAAAGTTTGCTGCTTCCACTCATTTTAGTAAAAGTAGAGAATGTTAGCTAAACCAAAACAAAAACAATATTGTGTTTAAGTTTCATCACGTGCTTTCTTGTATGTATGTATGTATGTGTATGTATGCAGCTTATTTAAGGCATACATGAGTTTTTGTTG